TTTGCTGCACACCAAATAAATAAGCACAAACGCACACACACACACACGCAGTCACAGTTAGAATCACTAACACACATATATACATATATGTAATATATATACTCCATATGCTCTCTAGACTTTCTATATGCTGTATATACTCTATATACTCTATATTTATATACTCTTTATACTCTATATATTCTGCATACTCCATATACTTTTTTTTTCTATCAACTTTTCACAACCTTAGTGAAAAAGTTTTGAGTTCCTTGCCAATTGAATAAAATAGTTAAATTTATCTACTTTCACGCTAAAATAGCTTTACGCATTTGACATATATTAAATATTATTTATCTAATTAATATTCAATTATCTCGATCAATCCATTCGCTATTCGCATCATTCCACACAGGAAACTCTTGTTTTTCAGGTCGTTTTGTGCCATCAGCGCCCACATCGTCATCATCAACCTGGCCGATGCTCAGGTGCTGCAGGTGAAAACAATAAACACAGCTATAGATACAGTAAAGCCTCGTTTCATGCACACACACTCACCCCGCACAGCAGAGCCAATAGTATGACAATAATATGAATGTAAATGAATTGCAGGCGCATTTTATTTATGTTTCTTTTGTGCTCAGTTGATTCGCTCGCTTTTTCGACTGAATCAATTTTTGTTATTTGCAAAAACATTTAAATTGAGAGAAAAAAACTGCACAATATTTATTCAATATTTTATTCATGCTGTTTGCCATTATCAGCTGCGGCTGCTGTTGTTGATAAGGCCAAACGCAAGTTATGAAAAAAACAGGTGAAATACTGCCCGACTAGCAAATACCCGGAATACTGTAAAAGAATGGTAGTCCAATCATGCTATGCTCCCTTTAAGACTTCAATCTAAGTTGGGTTTGCTTTTAACCAGAAACTTTTCAAACCTCTTAAAGAATATTCGGGAGATGGACTCAGTTATAAGAAGCAGAACAGTTTGATATTGGACAGATGACAGAATGAAAGATCTGACGGATAGTCATATAGATATACAGATGGACGACCGACTGACGGAAGATTCGATGGTCAACCGGAAAAAATTATATAGACTCAGTTTAGTCAGTCCGTTCAAGGTATATATTCCTATAAAGATATATAATATATGTATATATAATACGTCTGCCACGCCTCCTTCCAACTGTCACATACATTTTCATAAAACCACTTTACCCTGAGCTCCCATTTTCAATGGGTATGAAAATGTTTTTTATTCATAATCTCATAAATCAATGTGTGCTTAATAAAACAGGGGAACTTAAGGGACTTCCTAATGCCTGTTCGTTAAGCCAAAATCGATAGATATAAACATATATACATATACATTTATTTATATAGTACATATGCATGTATATGTGTATGGATAGAAACCACTGGAAGCCATTGTCATTGACTATAAAGTCTATAACATCATATATCTAGTCTTGCTGTTTCCATGAAAAACATACATATTCATAAATCTTTGCAATGTATGTATATAAAGTGTTATCTAGGATAACTTGTAGTCGTTCATATACCACGCTATGATTCTATAACGAGGCTATATAATAATATATAATA